GATAGATAGATAGATAGATAGATAGATAGATAGATAGATAGATGCATGTCTCTTTTCCTGACAGAAAGTAAATTGAAAGTAACTCTGTTGAACTCCCTGACATTACTATGGCACTAAGGAAGGAATGAATCAGACCCTTGATTTATATTATTTGAGGAGGCTGAACTCAATTTCTGACAAATGAAGCAGACACTAGTGTCGTACTGCATCTCTTGTAAAGGTGCTGATCTTTAAGTTTAATTTTCCACATTTCATTCACCTATATTTTGCCTTGTAACTCTTATTTTGTCTTGGATTTGCAGGATATTTTAAAGGATTGCATGTGTAAACTGAAGGATGATAGATAAGTAGCCATATACATCAAGACTCTTAGTCCATCTAGGGGCCCTGACAACATCATTAAAGAGCTTCTGTCACATAGGGAAGGAAGGACAGATGTGTGGACTGCACCAAAATCCCATTTATCTGTCATTTCACCTTCTGCAGTCTTGTTTTGTTTCTCATTGTCACTGATTGTCAAACTCTGTGTCAGCTGGGGCTTTTCTTGGCCTATTCCTCATACCTGTTTCCTTAAGACATGTGAAGTTCTAATGGGTGATATTGCCAATTGCTGCTACAGGAGCCAGTGCAAGTTGCCTCCTGGTGCTGGTTTTCTGGTCAGTGAGCAGACCAGCCAGGGAACTGGAGCATGGTGCAGTTCTTGCAGAAGACATTGCTTTGAATATGAGTAATGGCAGGGGGGCAGATGGGGGAAGACTGTGTGAACAGGAAGCCAGAGTTTAGTCTAGTATTCTCTGCAGTTTGTCTGAATGAGATACTGTCTACTCTAAGGAATTCAATGCAGAAAATAAATAAATAAACAAACAAACAAATAAAAGTAAATAAATAAATAAGTAAGAAACTTCCAGATACCAACACCATCTCACCCTATCTCAAAGCTGTTTATAGCTCAGATCCCAAAATATTTTTGGGAAAATAAATCCTGTTTTTTTTCCAATGATCTTTGAATACCTATGAAACTTGAACCTGTAGCAGTAATTAGCACCTCCCCTATCAATCTCAGCAAAAGGTTAAATATGATTAAGAGTTTGAACTGTCCTTATGACTTCAGGCATAAGGTGCTTTTTCACCAAAGTCCTGTGTGTCACATGAATGTCCTACTTCATAGCAATGCTCTCACTCTCTACAGTTGACGTTGATAATGGGATTTTGTTCCAGAAACCCTCTGGATTGAGTCAAACTCTTCAGAAGAGAGAAGCATATGCCATCACTCTTCACTGTGTCTCTTCTGAGGGTGAAAAATGCAATTCTGGTGTCAGGCAGTTTACCCAAGCGTTAAGTTCAGGTTAAGTATTTCTCCAATTATTTTTTTTTTTAGTTAGATGAAAACATTACAGGCCAAATTCAGTCCCCATTATGTAAGAAATTATTCAAATTAATAATGAAATTAAATATTCATGTTTAAATTAATAATCAACTTAAGTTAATATTTCTGCTTAGGAATATGCATGTATGTAAAATATCACATCTTTTATATTCAAGGAAATACACAATTCATGTTTCATTAGTATTCTGTACCTTGAGATGCTGTTTATGGTCTTACCAATCCCAAATGATTATTTAAAAAAATAACAGAAGACAGAGTAACCATGGATCAAACTCTGAAAAACAAGAGATAAGCCAAGGTAGGGTTTTGTCTTCAAGCAGTTTTAAGTGAGCAATATGTGCTCATTCTTTTTCACTGACCTTTATGACTGAACCTTAAAGGTTGAGAATGTAATCTCAACTTGTTTTCTATAGCCATCAGGGAAGAAATTGCTGTAAAGAGCTGTTAAATCATGTGTCCTCTTGTCATCATGAGACATTTTTAAAGAAAACAGCAGTTTCTATGAGATGGGGTGTAATGCTCTATATCCTTAGAGCTGGTAACACATACTACTTCAACAGTAATGAGAAATAGAAATAACCCAATTTGTTAATACTTGCATTCACTTTACACTTGTTTTTTGCTTGTAACAGTGCCAAAGCAAGTGCTAGTCCTCTTATGGCATGGGGACGCTTTTAAGGGTGGCAGAGGGAGCTGGCAGTGGTTGTATCAAAGGAAAAAAACGAAATTATTTAAGCGAGAAGGATATAATAATAGTCAGACTTGGCATTTCAGGAAGCATACTTCTGGAGGAGATTTTATCGCTGTAATAAGGACATTCAACACGAGGACATTGTGCCCTTTCTACCTACCGGCTTTGTTATCACTTGCCTATCACGTGTGATCACCTGTGTAAGGCATCCAGCCTCCAGATCTCCAAGCACATCATCTTGACTCAACCAAATACATAGACAAGGCCATTTTCTGGAGGGTGGTGGGGAGGCACAGCCCTTGGTTTGTGGTATCTCGCTTGACATCGTGCCAGTAGAGAGTTAAAATGTTACAGCAAGTGTGTGCTGCACTCACGAAAATACACCCAGTAGTGCCATCCTGTGGTCAGGACTGCAGCTACCAGGCAGCTTCTGCACCGTGTCCCGCCTCTTTCCTAAAAGCTGGTTTGTCTTGGGTTGTTACACACAATTCGAGTTGTGCCAGGCTCTAAAATTATGGTGCTTTTTTCTCATACGTTCAGTTATTTCTGTTTGATCGCCTAAATAGGAGGGCTGAGAAAGCCTCCATAATTCAGGTTCTGTCACCAGATCCGTAACAGAGAAAGCTTTGGAAATCAACTCCAGATAAAGTGTCATCCAGCCTTGGAGAACTTTTTTTGCCACCTTTTTGGGAGTGCAGAAGCTTTTCCTGATATATGGTCTGCTGTAATATAGTGAAGAGTTCTGTTTCATTAAAATTTTGAAATACTGTTGTTTTACTAATTGAAGTATGAGCTCAGATGTAAAGCAAATTGATGAGAAATGAGAAAGCTATTGTGTGTCGTGCATTTACTGACCAAGGTTTGTTATTCCATGTCCCCGTGAATTCTTTGGCTAATTTAAAGCTAATATGTGCAAAACCCATTTGAAGAAAGTCTTTAGTCAGATGTAGGCCTGATCATAGGATGCCTCAGATAAAGCCTTTCTCATTAAAATAGTATTATGATGGAATAGGAAGAATAATAGATATGTATGATCTAGGAATATCTTTCTCATTAAAATAATATTATGATGGGATAGCAAGAATAATATGTATGCATAATTTTGGAATACCATTGATTTGGGAGGTGGGGAGCAGAATTTATGAAGTTTTTAGCTACAGAATGCAGTTTGCAACAGGTCAGATATTTACACATTGGTCTTTAATTCAATAATATGCTAAAGTCTTTAAACAGGAAAATTATATAAAATAAATGGATTTAAGCTATGTAATTTATTAGCACCAGTGCAGAGTTTTAATTGAGTAGCCTTTCAAAATATTAAGAAGCTTAGAATTAGATTTTTTTATAATTATTTTGTTTTATACATGTCATACTTCCTTCAGCATTTTAAATAGATTATTTCAAAGTGTGTTTAAAAAAGGGAAACACTTTTCCAGCACCTAAGTGACAAGTAGATGACAACAGTTTCCCAAACCAGCACGGCAGGGTGCATCGCCCACCCTTTGCCTTTGCAGAATCCAGCTGTCATTAGTGCTGCTCCTCTGGGAGACTGATGGCCTCTTCTGCCACCCACAGGCGGCCCTTCAGGCTTCAGTTAAATATAGGAGAGACAAAATAGGCATGAACTGACAGCAGGGGAAGAAGGAACTTTTATTATATATTGAATGAATGTAAAAGAGAATAATTTTACTTGAGATCTTTACATGTTCTTACCCATTGGTGTGTTTCTCAGGTGTCATTAAAAGTAAAAAGATCATGTTTCAGTGTATTGTTACCCTAATGTTTATTCCTAGCACTAGGGCAAGTTGGCAGACACTTCCAATGCATTCCAAGATGGTTTTTTCAGGTGCTGCAGTGATCAGAATCTCAGAGGGTTTTAGAATAACTGTTTTTCCCTTCTGGGCAGAACAGCAGGTGAGGATACAAAGATGCAAGTCTGGATATGCAGACAGGAGAACCTTTAAAATTTTTCCCCAAGGAGTTCAGTGCCTCAGTTGTATGCATTACATCCTGCAGATTTCCAAACACCCAGCAGCCAGGTTTGGCAGCCACTCAGAAGATTCAATAATATGCTAAAGTCTTTAAACAGGAAAATTATATAAAATAAATGGATTTAAGCTATGTAATTTATTAGCACCAGTGCAGAGTTTTAATTGAGTAGCCTTTCAAAATATTAAGAAGCTTAGAATTAGATTTTTTTATAATTATTTTGTTTTATACATGTCATACTTCCTTCAGCATTTTAAATAGATTATTTCAAAGTGTGTTTAAAAAAGGGAAACACTTTTCCAGCACCTAAGTGACAAGTAGATGACAACAGTTTCCCAAACCAGCACGGCAGGGTGCATCGCCCACCCTTTGCCTTTGCAGAATCCAGCTGTCATTAGTGCTGCTCCTCTGGGAGACTGATGGCCTCTTCTGCCACCCACAGGCGGCCCTTCAGGCTTCAGTTAAATATAGGAGAGACAAAATAGGCATGAACTGACAGCAGGGGAAGAAGGAACTTTTATTATATATTGAATGAATGTAAAAGAGAATAATTTTACTTGAGATCTTTACATGTTCTTACCCATTGGTGGGTTTCTCAGGTGTCATTAAAAGTAAAAAGATCATGTTTCAGTGTATTGTTACCCTAATGTTTATTCCTCCTTAGTAGCACTAGGGCAAGTTGGCAGACACTTCCAATGCATTCCAAGATGGTTTTTTCAGGTGCTGCAGTGATCAGAATCTCAGAGGGTTTTAGAATAACTGTTTTTCCCTTCTGGGCAGAACAGCAGGTGAGGATACAAAGATGCAAGTCTGGATATGCAGACAGGAGAACCTTTAAAATTTTTCCCCAAGGAGTTCAGTGCCTCAGTTGTATGCATTACATCCTGCAGATTTCCAAACACCCAGCAGCCAGGTTTGGCAGCCACTCAGAAGTGCATCTCCTGTGCATGCAGGGTGCAGCTGGCCAGCACATACACAGAGGCCCCAGCTCCTTCTGGGTAGGACATCACTTGTGCAGACTGATCCAGCACATCATTTTGCACCAAGTGGATCATTTTGCCACATGGATCTGCATTAATTCAGTGAGTCCAAAGACTTACTCCATGTGCACAGTAGTTCAGAAGAAGGGTATGACTGGTTTGAGTGTTTAGTTCCTTATGCAGGCACTTCTCCTCACTGGGTGTCTGTCATTGGGGTGGGCAGGTGGAAGTGGACAGCCTTACTCCATCTTCTTTCTGGGCCAGGGCATACAATACATCTCCACAGGCAAAGAGGTAAGAAAGAAAAGGAATGCATGCAGCTGACAGGGGACTAAATGAAGCCATAATCTTCCTCTTAGCTCCCTTCATGTTCAAAGGAAAGCCTGAGACAATGTCTGAGTACACAGAGTGCAGTGAAGGTGCTCTGTACACCTCATGCAAAACCTCTTGTCCCAAGCATCCAGGGGTCCTCGGTGCAGGCTCTGGGGTTTCTGCTTTGTTGCATGAGTGAGAAAAGGGACTTGGAGCATAGCGCACCTGAGAAATTGCTTTGGAGAAAAATCTGTCAAGAGTTACATGTTTTTGCAGTGTAAGTTCGTGATTAGACAGGGACATCACAGAATCAGTCTCTGAGATTGGCAGGGATGCTGGAGAAAGCAGGATCAGCTAGAGCAAATTACTCAAGGCTGTGTCCAGTTCAGGTTCAAGTATCTTCAAGGATGGATACTCTACAACCTCTCTGAGCAGCCTGTCACAGTGTTTGACAACTCTCACAGAACAAGTCCAGCCTGTACTTAATAGTTTGCAAGTGAGGATATTGCAGGACACAGTGTTGAAAGCCTTGCTGAAGTTAGAATAAAGAACATCCACCGCTCTCCCTTGTCCCGTGAGCTAGTTGTTTCATTGTGGAAGACAAAAATGATAATCAAGCATGATCTTCCCGTCATAAATCCATGCTGACTGCTCCCAACTACCTTAATATGATTGGAAATTCCAGGAGGGTGCACTCCTTCCCCTTCCCGGGGCCTGAGATGAGGTTTTAGTTCACTGAATCCTTTTTCTTGCTCTTCTTGAGAATAAGACTCACAGTTGCTTTCTCATAGCCCTCAAGAACCTCCCCTGATTGACACAAGTTTTCAAAGACAATCAAATGGCCTCAGAACTTGTGGGTACATTCAGGGGGAGGAGCACCTCCACTGTAAAGACAGGCTGAGAGAGTTGGGGTTATTCAGCCTGGAGAAGAGAAGGCTCCAGGGACACCTTATAGCAGCCTTGCAATGCCTGAAGGGGAAAGGGGAAAGCTGAGGAGGGGCTTTTAACAAGGGCTTGTAGTGATACGACAAGGCGTAATGGCTTTGAACTGGAAGAGCAGAGATTCAGGTTAGACATTAGGAAGGAATTCTAGGAAGACAACTTCCTTCCTTCTTCTTCCCCTCTCTTCTGTCCGTGGCCAGCATCCGGGGAGGACTCCATCCATCCATCACCATTGACCCCCAGGCTGTGCATCTCCTGACCCTGATCACTCTGTGCTTTCTGCAGCAGCAGTCTGGGATTTTTCAGGACTGGTTGTAGCTAAGGAGGGTGCTGTGGGAGTTACTGGGGGCGAGGGGAGGCAATAGGGGTTTTGTACATACCTGAACACATCTGTATATAATTGTATATATTTTCCTTTATCATTGGTGTTTAATTAAAGCTGCGTAGTTTAGTTTTCAATCCAGCCAAGTCTCTCTCTTTTTCTCTCTCTCCTTCCCTACCTAGGTGGGAGGGGGAGGGGATCGAGAGCATTGTTGTCGAGCCCGAGTCAAACGGTGACAGAAACATACATTTCTCCCTTTTACTGACATCTGCCTGAAATACCTGATATACATTCAAGTGCCATTGATTTCAAATTACCGTACTGGTATATTTAAACTCAGGCAGGTCTGTAAGAGCTTTGCTGGACTAAAATCTTACTAAATGTGTACTAAAATTTTGTAAATAATATAATGTTATGCTTCTTTAAAAGTTTTTCATATATTTACCAAAAAAAAGGAAAATCTATCTAGGAGAAATTCTGTCCTAAGTATCAATTGGGCGTGTTTAACCTAGATTTGTTAGGTGTACTGTATGTTAAATAAATTTTAATTTATTATTAAAGCCCTACTTTATTGGCTTCCCTTGTTTGATTAAATGTTATCTCTTCTGTGTTTGTTCAGCGACAAACAGAAATATAACATTGTAAAGTTCATGGTTCAAGCAGAATGCAAAAAATGCAGCAGAAGAGATGAGAATTTTTGCATAAGTAGACCCATTTAATAGTAAGAAAGCTTAAGCACACAGATTATTTTTAATGTTTAGGGTTTTTTTACTTCCTAGAAGTTAAACTTCCACTACAGTTTTCTTTTGTATGCTTGCTCAGGGCAACATCATTTCTTGACAACTGATGTTTGAAGTAATCGGCCTCCTTTGAGATTAGTGATATATCCAAGATTATCTGTATCTCACAGCCTTCCCATAATTCAAAATAAACTGCATGACAGAAAAAATACTTCATTTTTCACTGCAGAAGTATATTTTAATTTCTTTGCTGTGAGTTGAACAAAGATGAGTGTAGTCCATCTCTTCTCTCACATTTTGGCTGTTAAGATACCTTTATCTGCCAAACAGAAAATTACTAGTTAGTTGCAAGGAAATTAAAGTTACTAATTAAAATAAATTAAAAGTATATTGGTTTCCTGCTAATGAAGGGACAGAAAAAAATGTTTGAAGAATAGAAGAACAAAGTCAATAAAACTGGCATATGCATTTATAGTAACCAAAATGATTTTGCCCTAAGTTCTCTCTACGTCTCCAAATATATCCAAAGTAAACATATTGATGGGTGGTGGAATTCTCCACAGTAACTACTAATTACTGGTTTTCATCACAATAAAGTTGTAAAAGGCAACAGGAAGACATGTTCTGAACACAGGTACAGGGCAGTAAGTAAAAGTTTGAGGGTGTCTGCAAACTCCTTAGTTTGAGAAAATAGAAAACTGCTTTCAACCTGAGCCAGCCAGCTTTGATTCACCGACTCATCAATTCAGTTACAAGACACTGGCAACAGGCACTCTCCAAATGTCATTCTAACAGGTGAAGGAGTCCACTGAAGGAATAAAATTTGTAATTTGCATTCATTTTAACTCTCTGCGGTCCAGCCAGGGTCTCCTCCAGGTGTGCATTTGTTGGCAGTGACTGCTGTGGAGTGAATGGCAGCCATCTGGAATGCTGCTCATCTGCATCATTGCACTTCTGTCCAGGCACTGAGCTTTATTTATGTTCACTAAGCACTCTCTGTTATGGAACATGCTCAAATGTGAAACCCTCTATGACAGTGCTTAAATATTACTGAATCTCATAAAAGTTAAGTTAGCAGACACTGTTTGCCATAGAAGGATTTAATAATAGATCTAATAATTGATCATCATCATAGAAGATCTAGTAATGCAGATGTTTAGCTTAGCTGTGACTTTAGAAATCACTTAACAGAAAATCTAAGGGAAAATGTGTAGTTTAACAGTTGCCTGTGAAAATTGCCTATGTTTTTTTTGGACATCAGGCAAATGAGGGAGATTTATACCTCAAGAGCTGTTCTGTTTATAGGGCGTGAGTCCTTTGTGAAGGGTCCGTGAAGATTGGCTGGGTTGCATAGATTATCTTATATACCACACAGATACTAGAGACTTTTACTGCTACTACTTAGTGATCATCTGCTGGCACTGAAGAAACAACCAACAGATTTCTGTATCTTTACAAGTCCATTTCAGAAAGGGCATCTTTCTCATGCTGAGAGATAATTCCCTTTTTGGAGGGAAATGTTGTTCAGGCAACAAAAGCAGCATCAGCAAGTTAAAAACAAACTTGTGGAGTTTTACTTTGTCAAGGGAATTTAAGGCAGATTTTAAGAGGAAGAAAGCTCTCTTGTGTCTGCAAGCTAGTCTGTTACACTGCAAGCTTCTTGTTAGCATCACAGTACTACACAGAAATTGGATTCAGGTTTTATTGCATTACATGTTGTGCAGATAAAGTAAGGAGATGTGCCTTCTTCAATGAGATCAAAGCAATTGCAGGGATGGATAAATAAATGGGCACAGCAAATGTTACAGAAAATGGGTAGCAGAGAGGATGAAAATTAAAATGAGAAGAATGAAGCTTATGCAAATTTGCAAGGTTAACGTTCTGTTATTACGCTGAAAAGACTACAGATACCATATTAGCTGTCATCATACATTTCTAATAGTACAAATGAATGGAGTGGAGCTTGCAGAGTCCTGTGTTTTACTCTGCCATTTCCCAATGTTAATAGGTTGACTTGGCAGCATGATACAATATGTAAAATCTGCCTTTAAAAAAGGTAGGATTTGAAGTGATCAGTAGGGCACTACACCCAGATGTATCTACACAAGGTTAAGCGACCATGACTATGACAGGATCTGATCACTGTTCATACAAAGTAAAGTATTTATTATTCATATTTTATATAAAACCTGAATCATGTTAGGCCATGTAGTTGTCAGAACAGAAGAGACATGTTTTCTTAATGTCTTTAGAGCTAGGTGTGGGATTCATCTCAGTTAACTTCACAAGCTCTGAGGTTACATGCCTCATGTAAACTTGTCTCTTTAGGCTTTGTTTGTAGTCAATTAAGATATTCAGGCACCTTCAAAGCAATGTTCATTCCACCTGCCTCCAAGCAGCTGCTTTAAGTCACTTTTTTCTTTCCCTGAAATTAGAGGGAGTCTTGATCACCTAATTTTTGCCATATAAATTGAGGTGGGTAAATAAATTCTTGTCCATTACAACTGACTGCAGTAAAGGCCAGAGACTTCAGTACTCTGTACAGCAGACTAAGAAACTCAGACTTTATAATAGATAATTTCAAAATTAGCGGATCTTGATAAAAGGCTTGTCTCTTGTCCATCTTGTCCATTTCCTCCTCTATGAAGTATTACTTTCCAGCCTCTGTAGAAGCATTTGAAATTCAGGAATGAAATGTAAACTAAAATGGTGCAGGAGTTTTTTCAGCTTCAAGTGGAAACAAAGTGTTTCTTAAATATATATATATATATGTACATATATAGCCTGAGCAAAATTATTTATAGTACAAATGCACAGCAGTTCCTTGAGACTAATATTTTAGTGGGTGGCGAACTGTTACTGCTGTGTAATTTCCGATAAGTCATTTTCTTAGTCTTGTGTCTTGCCTTTCTGGCATACCAATTAATATCAAGGTAGCTTATGAGGCTTTCAGGTTAGAGTTAACACTAAAACCAATATATATCTCTCAGTTGTGTCGATGTACTGATATTGTTAGTCCCACATCTGCCAGCCTCTGGATATTTTGCTTCCCAGGACCATCATCAAAACTAACTTGGATATGACTATGTTATAAAAAATATATTATCAGTGGGAAGAGGAAAGTTAAAATCTGACAGCCACATAGTATCAGTACTAGATCATGTGAAGAATAAAGACACCAAGCCCCATTTTAGCCTCGTTCCTCATGCCAGCTTTTTTCATCCGTGCTTTCTTATTCAAGTGTTTTCCACTACTAGGGTTGTAATTAAAGTTAAATTGCTGCATGGAATTCTCACTCTTGGGGAATCTGTATCTCTGGTTCATCCTCCTTGCATGTCTTTTAATCAATGCTAGGAACCATCACAGTTCCCCACAACTGCAGAAATAAACACATATAGCCAAAACAACAGGCTAATTGCTTTGTTTGTTCCTCTGCACTGATCAGGTACAGGGCTGCTTGAAAGGTACCCCATGCTGCTCTGGTGACACGATTTGTGACCCTTTAAATTCCCCTTTTCCACTCCCATGCTCTTTTCTTCTACTGTGGTCATGCACTCCCAGATAAACAGCCTGTCCCTTCTCATTCTTTTCCCACTAGTTCCAGTGTTGCTGATTTTACATCCTTATTCAGTATTTATGATCAGGTTACCCTAGACTTTTCTGCCTTGGTCAGCAGTGCTGTTAAGCTCATACCCCTGGTTGTGCTGTTTCTCAGGTTGCTATCTTGTTAGTGTAGCCTCTAAGGTTAGCTGTCTGCATATGCAGGGCTCCCTTTTTGCTTTTTGTTATGCCTGGTATTTCTCAAGTCATGAATTTGTTAGTGTAGCTGCAGTTTAGGTTCAAGAGTTTGCACACATACCCTCGCACCCAGAAGCCAGCCTGGTGAAACTGCTGTTGGAAGCACCTTCTCCTTTACCTACTTGGTCTGAATTGCCAGAGACAGCCCTCACGGCCAGTGACAGCTAGACCTTGAGGGAAATGTCACACTTAACCTTCTGCTTTCTGCCTGCCCTTCTCCTCTTAGAAAAGCCACAGAATATATGCATATGGTCCAGCCTGTTGCTGCATCCTCTGGCATATTGCTCCATGTGTCTTCCTTGGCTGCCCTACAGTGGTGACCCAGAGTGGGAAATGCTTATTCACCCTTCTCTTCTGGACCAGACCATGGCCTGCTTTCTGGTGCCTTCTTCTATTTTCTGCCTGCTCTGGCCTCTGAGCCATGTGGAGAAGATGCCCAGAAAGGGTCCATTAATATGTGTTGGCTGTTTTCCTGGAGAACATTCATCTCCCTTTTACCCAGATTACCTCTGTGGCAATTTGGCACTGAAACTGGTTGAATGGGAATGGGATTGGCTGCATTACAAGGGTCTGAGACCTCCGTCAGTTCTTTTATCCCCCAACTAGAAGACAAAAAGGAAGAGATCTGAGAGGCTCTATGCTCCACCTACCTGGCTTAATGCAGAATGACACTTTGAAGACAGCTTGCCAGCATAAAGGTCACCTATAGACATTTCCTTATACTACAAAGGCCAAATGAATATTTAGGTGTCACAATGGAACTGCATCTTTCAGTTTTTCACAATTATTTACTAGGGACCAGCAAGATGAAGTGGGAAGGTGCCTTGTCTAGCACCTGAAGTAGTTGCTGCTCATCTGTGTAGTGTATCTTTCTCTTTGGGCTTACACATGCAGTAGCAGGGCATTAGAGATTATTGTTTTCCTGAGGTAGAAGAAAATAAACTCAATCATGAGGAAAAAGTCCAGACGAAGCAAAACTACTGTATCTGGTTTCATTATCTATCTAGTATCAGCTGACATTTCCCTGCCATCAGACCATCAGGTCACATTGCAGTTGGGGACAGCATTTGCCACCCAAAAAAGCAAAAATATAATAATGAGGAATAGAATTAAATTTCTGTATCCACAAAAAAAAAAATGCTTCTCCTTCCACATACAGATGGCTGTTGATATGTCGTAAGACATATAGCCATGCTAAGTAACAAAAACAATATGGTAGTAAAAAAAAAAAGAACAGAGAATTTGCACCCTGAACCTCATGATTTGTTTCTTACTGACAGTTTAGTAGGACAGTAGGTAATACTTCAGATGAAAAGAAGGGATGATTATTTGAGTGCAGTCAGGTTTGAACTAAATCCAAATTTTTAATGAGTGTAGGGGTGTTGTGTTTTTTTGGCATGGTCCACCACTTCTGGAAATGCCAATCAGCAGCAAACTGATCATACTTCCATAATAACAGTGCTAGGCAAGAAAGATTTCTGTTTGGGTGCAATATGAAGGGTGAGCAGATTGTCCTTTAGGTAATGACAGCCCCCATGAAATTCAGCTTAGACCAGGACTTTTTTAGAGACATTTAACAAATACTTCACAGATAAATTTAGAAGACACAAAATATTCCTTTGGGGTCACTTCATTCATGTTCTTTGTTTAAATGTAGCTTGTCTACCATGGTTCAATTACAATTCTGTTTCTATAAAATATTTTGCTTTCCATACAAATTGCTGAAAAGAATTTTCAAAATATCAATGCGTGTTAAGTACTTAGTATTCTCAGGATCTCCTGAAAAGCCCATCTGCTATGCAAATTGATCCCTAAGAGTAACTTCTGAATGAGGATTCATAAAGGCATGGTTCAGAAAAACAATTAGCATGTTTACCTTCCAGTGATTTCCATAAAATATAGATTTTTACTTGAATGCTTTATACAGTGAGGAGTGATTTCCTAAGCTGAAGTTGTACTCATTACAGCTAACAACATCAATATATTGTTTACTTATTAACGTATTTGTGTTTTATTTGCTCTTTTCCTTTACCGAGTTCAATTCGAAGTGATGGAAAATACATTCTTGCACTCAATTATTCATTAAACATGTTCTGTGTGATTTCCACACCCTATGGGATGAAGTGACTTTTTTTCTTAGTTGCTTTCAGGAGCACCTTTCCCCACTGCTGACTCTT